TCTGTCCTTGGCTATTTCAGCCATCAAGTTGTTTAAAGGCTTGAAATAGTGCAGATACTTAATGTAGCAGGCTGAGGAGTCTAAGCCCTTCCAAGTGGGCACTTGATGTTTGAAGAAGGCTGTTGGTGCAGTGTTGCCTTGGCCCTTTGCAGATTATTTGAAACAGTGTCTGTTGTAAAAATTGCCCCAGTGTCATTGTTGGTGCTGTTTTCTGGCATTTCTGTTTCTGGGATCTTCACCCCTGCCTTTCTGTCCCACTGTTGCTGCTGTCCTCTGAGTGGTCAATTACTAGCAAGCATCAACTCTGGTGCCAAATTGTCAAGCAGCAGTGTCCTGAAAAACTGTGATGTGCTCCAGGGTTTTGATTTGGGTGACCTGGCTCTTCTGCAGGTAGTTTGGAGCAGTGTATGAAGCAGAAGTATGGGAGGGTTCACACTTGTATTTTTCTCTTCAGGTGATGAAAGTGACTGAGAACTTCTGCTCTATGCCCAGTAATTTTCATGTGTATCTTCCATGCGCTCTTTGTATATAGTGCTTGGGGATCATGTGTTGGCTGAATGTTTTCTCTGAGCACAGTGTGTTTTAGTTTGAGTGCTCCAGGTATTTCAGCACGAGAGCACTTTTGGACCCTGGGACTATTTTTTGTCTCTACATGCTATCTACCTAAGTATATACATTTCCCAGTCTCGTTCACATAATTCCCTCCCTCTTGGGGATCTTTTCCCATGCCAGCAAATTATTGTTTTCCTACTTTCAGGCACCCAACAAGTCTGGCCACTCTGGAAAAGCTTGTTTGTTGGGTAGAGCTGGTTCATTTGGCAGTAAAGTGCTTCAACACTGCTTGAACCTTTAAATGATCACAGGTTTTAAAGCTAACCTTAATTAAATGGGCCATAGGCTTAGAGTTCTAGAATAATTTGTCTGGCTGGGGATTCTCATTTGAAAAAAAACAACAACAAACCAATCCCCCGATTCCTCTGTAGCTTCGTACATGCACTGCAAACCCTTTCTGGCATTGTCTTAGTAAAATAATCTGTAGTTGAGACCTGTCAGTTTATAAGAGTGAATAAAACAAATACATGGATTTAAAATACAGTTTTCTTCACAAAGTAGTAAAAGAAAGATTAAAATAATTGAGGTTGAAAGGTATTGTTAAATGTTCTGATAATCAAAATAAAATGGTGTTTAAGCAGTACTGGCTCACCATGTGAAACCAGTGTTTGTTACATCTGTTGTTACCAGCTTCCCATTTCTGTGAGGAGGCAGGGACCATTTTCATTTGAGTTACTTGTTCCAATCAAAATTGAAGAAACTAATAAAATACTGGAAAAGAAGACTGTTATTATTACTTATCCATTCTGTGGATTAAAAGATATGAAGGTGGTAGTATTATTACTTATCCATTCTGTGGATTAAAAGCTAGATATGAAGGTGGTAAGGTCTCCTTGTTTTAGCCCTGGTAACAAAAGGTTAATGAATGGTATTCTTTGCCATCTTATATTATTTCCTTCTTCCTAATAAATGTGGTTTAAATGTACACCCTGTATTCATAAATACAGCTTTTGTTTATATGTGGCATTAATGATAGTTATTAATAGGGAGGTTTTAAGGCATTTTTTATGTATCACACTGCACTTGGACAGAGATCTAACAGCTTACTAAAGGGTTGTAGATAAACAGAGCTAGAAGCTCACTGAGATGTTTGTATATTTCTGGTTAAGAAAGGAAATAACAAGTCTGGCCTAACTGCTATGTTTAGTTGCTGATTGCCATGTTTTTAATTTGCCAAAAGATGAGAAATCCCTAAATCCCTCTTTTCATTAGACAGACCAGTAAAGTGCACGAAAAATAAAATAAAATTTTAAAAGACAAATTCATGGATGGTGAATGTGTCTTTATTGAAATCAGTTCAGTTTACTTGTCATGCCTGTGCCTCTCTTTGGCTGCTCATGGGGTGCTCCTTGTCAGTGCTGCTGTCAAATATAAAATCCTTCCCTTCATGCAAATGTTTACTGCAGGATTCGGTCTCCCAACAGTTGCAGATCTCTGTGACACACACTCCAAGGTTTGCTGAACTTGGGGCTGGTGGTTCAGCTGGCTCTGGCTGCATAAGAATTTCCATTCTATACGTCTCCTTTTTTTTTTTCCAGACTCTTGGGTTTTGGACATGTATGGGCTTCTTTTGGTGGTGGTGGTGGTGCTTGTTTGGGTGGTTTTGGTGCTGCCAAAAGTGCATTTTGGTTTTTGAAAAGTCTGAGCAAGCACAGTTTTGGAATGTGACAATACAGAATACTACTCATTATGAAAATACTGGATTGTTTGAGTTTTAATTTAAAATATGTGGAAGCAGAAGCTTAAAGTGTTCTGGAATACATGCTTGGGATTTACAGAGGAAGAATTGGTTTCAATAATAATGAACTGTGGTCTACTGAATATTTTAGGCTATTTGTTCCTGTTTTTCCATCATCCTAAGCTAAAATTTACGGGAGCGGAAGGATCTTCCGTAGAGGTAGTGATGATATTTGAGAAAATAAAATTTTCAGCTTAAAATGTTTGGTCCTATTTATTCTGTTCTTTCCTGGCACTGGCTTAAGTGAGGGCTTAAGGCATTTTTCCAGGGGTTTGCCATGTGGGCATTCTGCCTGTCAGGATACCCTGCTTACACAGCTCCAAGGGAGCTTTTCAAGCTGGATTTAAATATACAAATGGATTTGAAAAAATCTATTGTACTGAACAGTCTTATAATGATGACTTGTTAAAATAGTCTGTAGTAGAGTTGGAGCTGGGTCACTGGGAAAAGCTTTTGTTAGCTGCCTATTTAATTTTTTTAAAACTTTTTTTTCTTTTTTATGTGGAATAATTCAGTAATATCAGTAGTTGCTTTGGCAGCATATAAAGAGTAATTGAGAAGTTTGGAATGGAAAATATGCTGTGCTGTGCATCTGTATTGAAAAAGGGACCCTTCTAAAATGCATTCATGCAGCTTCTTGCCCTGATGTTGAAATTACAGTCATAAAGTAATTGCTTGAAAGATTTTACTTTGTGCTACTTTTATGCAGATTAAACAGTGACACATAGTTCTTTTATTTTTCTCAACTTCCAAATTTTAAAGAAGATTATAAATTTAACAAACAAATTGAGGAATTAAATAGCTCCAAGAAGAGTTTTTCCACAGCATTGGAAAATAAATAATAATAAAAAATTGTCTCAAGGTTTTGCAATCTATTTTTATTTTAAAATAAAATCATTGCTGTTCTTTGAAAAGGCTATGTTGTTGTTGTATGTTTTGAAGGGATTGCTATGAAATGATACTCAACTGAAAACGAGGCTTTTCTTAACTTATTGTAAATGACACCAAAAGTGACATTTGATAGCCAAAATAATTTTACACTTAACATTTTTAACAGTTCTAAAAACACTGACAGTTTATCTCTTTCCTATAAGAAACAATTACTCTTGGATGTAACATGAAACGATTTCCTCAAACTTTTACCATATTTTTCCTTTTGTGAACCCTCTTTCTTTTCACCTAAAGTAACCCATTCTTTTATTTATTAGATCTTTTCATTTGCACATTAATTTGTTATAATACCTAGTACTTTTAAAACATAAACTGCTCTGAATTTGAAGAGTCAATTACAGAGCTGTGTGCCAGCTGTGATGAGAAAGTCTTAGAGCCTTCCAGCAGTTTTACTTTTCCGAATAAACAAGACCTCAGTGGCATGACTGCCCCAAGTGTGTTCTGTTTACCAGAGCCGTGCCAGACCCTGTCACTGGTGTTGCAGGATTCGTTCTCTGGTCCAAGACAGGACTAGTTCTGTGGTCTAAAGAAGAACATGGATTTCGGTGACTGCTCCCTCCTTTCACAGCCTACTCAAGCTGTCCTGCTTGCTTTTGTGTGTTGCTGGAACAAGGATGTGAAAGGCCTTTGGATTCAGCTCTGTGTGATCCAGCTGTGTGATCCAGCTGGACTGGTGGGTGGGTTCATAAATGCTGTTTTTCTTGTGGTGGCTGCTCCAGCCCTGCTGTAATAGATGCTGAGAGCAAGCTTTTATGTTTTAATAAGCAGACCCGGGCACAGTTGTTCTGGGTGTGCTGTGAAAGTTTCCCATTTTCTCCTGTGTTGCCATAGCTGCTTTCTGCTGTTGTTTGTGTAGTGGCTTTGCACATAACTTGTCCATGAAAAGGGCTAGTGAGTGGGATTCTTGAGAGAGGGATTCGTGGCAGATGTGTTTCCACAGAAGGCATGGTGTAAGAGGGGGGTGTTTGAGTTACTGCTGTAGCCCTCCTGTTTATTTCTTAATTAAGAATAAATATTGTCACCTTGGGTTTTCTTGAACGTTGTAAGAAAAAAGTTAGGATTTTGCAAAGATGTTCCTTTGTAGAAGATGAGTTGGAATTCTCTCAGCAAAGGCCTTGCATGAGCTGTGGTGAGCAATCGGCATGATCCCCAGCAGCAGTCTGCCTGGCTCCTTGAAGTCCTGCTTCCGTGCAGGGCTAGCGAGGGCTTCCTAGGTCAGAGGTAAATCCTTGTTGGATGCAAAGCTCCCTGTGCCAGCCTTCCTTGGGCTCACTTAGGCCATCTGCAGATGTTTTCAAGTCTTGTGGTGTGACAGCTATGTGTGGTTATGCAGCCCCTGGTGTCGGTGGGAGCGAGGGCCATGGGTGCAGGCAGGGCTTTGGCAGCCCCTGCTTCAGGCTGCTGCAGCTGAGGAAGCCACACCATCCAACTGCACAAACAAATGGTACTGGTTTATTGAAGTAGCTGCAAATAGCTTGCAGCTGATCTAGCTTGATCTCATAGCTGACCCTGCTTTGAGCAGAAGGTTTGTATGGAGCTGTGTATATTGGATATTTGCCTTTTACAGTGACAAAAATAAGATGAAAAATCTTTGAGATATTTTTCTACAGTTTCTAAAGATGCTATCTTTTTTTATTTCTAATTTGCTGTAAACGCACTCATCTTCAGCTCACTCTGTTGTTTTTTTTTACTTCCTTAGTCAAAATACTATGGCCAGACATTGTTGACAGAAGTTTACAAGCATCTGAATTTGATAGAATCAGATTACTTTGGGATTGAGTTCCAGAACATCCAGTCATATTGGGTAAGTACAGTTCCCTGGCAAATTCAGTATAATAAAAAGGTTTGGTGACTGAAGTTGCTTGAGTGTCAAAATTTCAAAGTCTGTTGGAATCTCCTGTAGGATTATCTCTTTGATACTTGTAAATCTGCTTCATTCAGAACAACTAATTAAGCAGAGGGGAGGAATCAGGTTCTACTTCTTGTGAGATTGCAGAAAAATGTATAAAGCAGTGAAATAGTTGCTGATGTTCCCACTTTCAGGGACATAAATAAAATCCTTCTCCTTCTAAAAAGGGCAGCATCAACTCAAAATGTAGTCCGTGGAGCAGTTATCATACTGTGGTATGTGATTTTGGGAGTGTTCATGTTTCTCTACAGTTAATTCACTCTTCAATTAATTTTTCTGAAGAGTCATTATGAACCTCTTTATAATATATATGAACCTCACCAGACATACAGACTTGCAAGCTTTTTAAATCATTGATCTAGATAAATACTGACACTCTAAGCCTCTTAGTCGCTCATCCTTTACCTTGCAAAGAGGACAATGTTGTTTCTGAACTAGAAAATGTTCCCTAAACTGTCTTAATTTTTTTTTTCCCTTTACTTTTTCTAGTTTTAGGAGTCATTCACAGAAAATATGGCTTAGGGCTAAAACACACTGCTCGTGAGCCAAGGCAATACAGTAAAGCTTATATAGTTTCCATTTCTTCTGCAAAGTGTCCAAAGTGTTTCTGCATCTAATAAGGTTCTTAAAATCCTCAGCTCTCTCTGAGAAGAGAAACTAGTAAGGACTGAACTTAATTGTCTTGTTACAATTTTTCATTTGAGGGGGAAAAAAAAAGAAAGAAGTTGAGCATCCAGAATACTTTGCTTTCATTTTATGGATACTCTTTTTACTAGAACTACCATAGTCTGCCTTTAAAAATGTGCTTGCCAAAAGAGAAAAACTTGTTGGAAATTAATATTGAGCAAAAATCCTTAGGCAGGAAGGGAAGAGAGATGGCCCAAGCATGGAAGTGAAAAAACAGTTGACTCCAGACCTTCTGTAATTCTGTAGCCTGGCTTCCTTCTATGGTTGGATGTTTTGGCCTGATTTGGGTCTTCTCAGCAGTGCTGGTGTGCTCTGGCTGCTCTTCAGTCCAGATGAGCTTTAAGCACAGATCAGTGATTTTTCTATTAATACATGATAAATGGCAATTCAAATAGCTAAGTACCTTTGTTTGAAAGCAAGGGGTGACTGCATTGCTACAGAAAGGAAGAAGTGCGTACTCATGAATTACTGCTTAATTTGAATTTCCTTTTGATGTTTTCATATTGTATTCAAATGTGAATGTCAGTTTGTAATTTTTTCCCTTTCATTTCAGATTTGGCTGGAACCTATGAAACCTGTCATTAAACAAGTACGGAGTAAGTAGTTTTAAAAAAATAAAGGAAGTTTTCCTTCATTTGCATCTGCCTTATGTGGGTTGCTTTCACAATTGCTACTTGATTTACTGGTTATGCTTCCCTGAAAATTGTACGTGGATAGGGGTGATAGTGGTTCCTGTTGGGGCATGCAAACCTGATGTTTTTAATATGTAGTATGTGGTGGGTAGAATGGAAGCTTACTGAAGGTATGATTCTTTCTCTGTGATAAATATTTATATAGATTGGGTCAGCTGGCATTATGTTTAAATGAAATAAGACTTTTTTGTGATCTTAAGTTGTGTTTGTCTGATGGTGGAAAGGAGGAGGAATATTCTGGTTTATTGCACCCATTGTATGGGAGGAGGTAGCATCTGAGAGTCTTGGGAGCCTGTCTGAGAGCTCAGACACCTTTCAGAAGTGCTGCAAAAAACTGCACTCAGAGCCTGCTGACAGGCAGGGAGTTTTGGCAGGGTGGATACTCCCATGTAATTCTCAAAAACTCTTTCCAATGTGCTTGGGAGCAATTTCACTTGGAGAACAAAGGTAGGAATCTCCCACCTGGTGTGTGGCTGCAGCTCCAGAGTCCTCTTTGCTTGGCTCGTGATGTTTGATTTTGCTTTTTGGCCAGGAGGATATTGCAGTAGTGTTGCTATCTTTGCTTTTTGCTGCTCTGAAAAAGTAATACAAGATTGACTCCAAAGACTAGAAAGAATTGAGGAATACAGCATGGTAGTTCTTCCGATGTTGAAAGATTAGGTCAAACTTTTCCCCCCCTTAGAAGAGGGTTAAGCTGTTTACTTATTTTCTGTTTCTGATTGTAGTCTTTTTGAAAGAACAAGATCAGGAGGGTGTGGTGAATTCCTACTCCTTCCGAGATCTTAATTGAAAAATGTTGAAAATAAGTACTGGGAGGGAGTTTTTAGTTACTATTCTGCCTAAACTGATTGCCAGAAAACAAGAAATCACCAATTCTAGCTAGATTTTTAACTTTTCCTGACACTGTTTTTCAAGCAGAAGATCCAAACGAGCTATAAAAGAATGGTGTTTGTGTGTATTTAGTTTTCTCCCTGTTGCAGAGATTGACAAGAACAGTGTTAAAATAGGAAGAAATAGGTATTAATGAGCAAGCTGGGACAGGCTGCAGACACACTCCACAAGGGAGCCAGCTGAGTCCAGCTGTTCTCAGGAATTCAGTCCCACAGCTCTGATAGTGGTGGTTGGTGTTAGAGCTTGTAGGATGTCTCCACCTCCTTACCCTTCTGAGAACCTCTCATTGGGTCACCTGCAATGCTTTTGTAGGCAGTCAAGGTGTTGCTTTGGAGTATGACAGCTTTCATGTTTCATACAACTCTTTTTACAGCATTTGAACTGCAAACTTACTTTAGAAATTGTATAAGTTGTGCTTAGCTGGCAAGCTGAAAGCTGGATGATCTTCATATGCGTTGTATTTCTGTGCATATTGGAAAGCATCGTATGCACGTGCTTATTAAAAAGAGTTTTTTTGTGAAATGACCAACTTTTCTTGCAGGACCAAAGACAACAATGCTTCGTCTAGCTGTCAAGTTTTTCCCTCCAGACCCGGGTCAGTTGCAAGAGGAATATACAAGGTAAAGGATTTTTTGAAGAGTATGGTTTGTGTTGCCTCCTGAAACATAAGGAAGGGAAGAGTAGGAGGACATTGCATCTTTATTCAAACATAATTACATTGAAAATGAGTAAAAGAGGTGTCACAGTCTTAGCAGATGTGTTGGCAGATGAACCTTATCAGAGAAAATATTTTTCAAAACAGCAAACAGTGCAGGGTTAAGGGCTTGCCAGACATCACAGTGTCAAGAGACTGGATTTAGGGGAAATACTCTTAAACAGTACCTGTATAAATAGTTGTATTTCTAATTGGTACCTATTTTAAGAAATTATTTATCATTTAAACTTCTGAAGTCCACACTAAGTATTCTACAACTAGGAAACATGCTGTACTGTTTTTGTCTATTTATGGAGAACTAATTGTAGAATTCTGGTCTGTGCTTAGGGCTATAGGTATTTCATAATGCTGTTAATGGTATGTACACTTTATTGTGGGTGTATTGAAGAAACCAAGATAGCTCAGCCAGATATGCAAAACACAGCATACTTTATAAAAGTCTTTCATACACACAGTACTTCAAAAAAACCAACCCCACATTGAAAATGTATACTTCTTACTATCTTTTCCCCTCAAGAATATGAGGAAGAATATGTGATAAATAGTATTTTCAAATTAATTATTTATTTTTTAAAATACTGGCCCCTTTCAGGATGTAGTTCAGTAAAAAATATCGATCAGTCTGTCAGTTTAGAGGTTTATAGGAATAAGTTGTTGCCTACTTACTGGAGTCTTTATTGTACCTTCTCTCAAGTAAACAGGAAAGCACAAAAGACTTGGCAGCATTACATTCATAAAAATATATTAAAATTGGTTTTTACCAAATCACTCCTTATTACAACACTTCTGAGGCTGCTATGTTTTTCTTCTATCCTTGTGTGTTTTGCAGGCAATTTATTACTTACATGAAACTGCTAAAATAGAAATATTTTTCTTCTTTAAGAACTGGTTGGAAAATACTTTAGTTAAATGAGTACAGATGTATAAGAAAAGAAAATGGACTTTGTTACTGTCTTTATAGGCTGCTAACTTGACAGTCCTGGAAAATACAGTCACTGAGTTAAATTAATTGAGTGGTAGCAGAAATGCTCACTATTTTTTCTAGCAAGATATTAAAATCAATGTTCTTTTTTTTTTTTCTAATAGATAAAATCACCTGAAATGTTCATTAGAGTTCAGCTTAAAACTACAGCAGCTGTTACTTCGCAAATCAAACTTATTAAAAATGTGGTTTTCCTTCTGCATCATTGTCCCTGTTCACTTCTAGAATCATGCTGATAAATTGCACAGTAAACCACAAAAATAGCAACAGTTTATTTCTTTTGATTTGACCATCCTTGGTAGCAAGGCTTCCATGTTGCCTTGTTTTTGGAGAAGGGAAGAATTAGGACATGCAGGTTTTATAAAACCCTGCTCCCCTTTCACAAGGGGGTAGTGGTAACTCCAACACTTGTCACTCTCCCAGGTACCTGTTTGCTTTGCAAATCAAGAGAGATTTGGCAGAGGAACGACTGACCTGCAGTGACAATACAGCTGCTCTTCTGGTCTCTCACCTCCTGCAATGTGAGTATTTCAGCTGTGGTGACATGGGGTGGTGTTGCCATTGCTCACAGAAGCTTTTGGTAAGCAAAAGTATTTTGGATCTGGCAGTTATTTCCTTCTGTACAAGCAGTAAACCCATTGATTTTGAAGACTGGGATTATTGTCAGGGCTAGCTGTGGTGAGGAACAGCTGGTGCTTAGGTAGAAGGTAGCTTTGGCTTTGTGGAGATTGCACAAAACCAAACCCTTGTGTCTTGTCTGCTTTCCCTGGCTCTGCAAACTGGGTCACTAGAACTCATGTCCCAGACAGCTGCTCCTGTCTGCCTCCATGCTTACAGAATCATAGAATCATCAAGGTTGGAAAAGACGTTCAAGATCATAAAATCCAACTATCTGCCCAACAACTGCTTGCTTCCTTGGTTTCACTTCTCAGTTTCCCTGCAGCTGGGGGAGATAAATGTATAGAGACCGGGCTGAACTAAATGTGCCAGAACATGTTCAGCAGCAGGGTTGTCAGCAGCTTTCCTCCTTGTTGGGATTGCAAATGGAAGTGGAAAGCAATTGGTTTGAAAGCTCTCCATGTTGCTGCTCAGTTTGTACTCACCTAAAGACCTAAAAACATGGCCTTTAAGAGGAGCAAACTTGGACGGGTTCAGACACCAGATCAGCTTTATTAGCACCCAAGTGATAGTGTTTACAGTTCTGTAACTTGAGCTGCAGAAATGGGTTTTTATGTCTCCTTGCTAGCTTGAAACAAAAGCACTTAAATGGTACCTCTTCCCTAGTGCACTGCTAAATAGCTACTAGTTATATTATTCTGCATTGTAATACAGTAATGCAATTATAATAATATTAGTTTGGGTGATTTTATTGGAAGAGCAAATCCATCCTGTGTGTGTCATGAGTGAGTGGCACAGCTAAAATATGCTCATGATTTTCCAGTATGGAGCTGGTTAGCAAATCTCAGTGACTGGTCTTGTTCCTAGTCTACTAGAAAATTAAAAGTGAGAATAAATAAAATTATTTTTAACACAGTTCACTTAGTCCACTCTCCTTTCTCTGACAGCAGTTGATAGCAAATATAGGTGCTGTGGGGATTTATAGTCACATAACACTGCTTTCTTTTTTTATTGTATATTGATATTTGAACAGTTCCTAAAATTGAATTTGCCCTGTTCCCAGGTAGGCTTGTCCATAACTATTTCACATATATTTAGGAAAATTAAATGGAAATATGCTGGTTTGGTGTGAGGTATCTGTAAGAAAGAAATGTTTAGACCACCTCATGGTGACTTACTTCACATATTTGACCATAAAGGTGTCAAAATTTTCCAAATGATATTAAAATACTGCTATAATCCCAAGAAAGTTTGCTTGGGATAGTTGTGAGTTTTGTCAAATGAAGCTGGATACAAACTGTAATGCACAAATTTGAAGGACTTAAAGAAAAATAAGTTCTGGCTCTTGGAGTCTCTGTAATTCCTTACCAAGTTTTTCTGTCATTCTTCCTTTTCTATTGTTGCTTCTTATTGTAACATTGTTTTATTTTCTTTAATAGCTGAAATAGGGGATTTTGATGAATCAGAGGATCGAGAACACCTTAAAACAAACCAGTATTTGCCAAACCAGGAAAGGATTGAAGGAAAGATTCTGGAGTTCCACAGGAAGCATGTGTAAGTGAGGCTGAATGTCTACCCTGATGTATATTCCTGGGGAGCAGATGAAGTTGCTTGGTGGAGGTCAAGTACACTGCACAAGAGGGTGATGTTAAGATTATATAAGTTAAATACCATTTGCCTCTAACAGGAAAAGTTTGATGTAGCAATAGTTGCATAGTTAGGACAGAGTTGTTGAGCAGTGTTTTCCTCAAGTGATTATTTTTTAGGGTACCTTTAATAACACATAAAAAAAGAAAGCTCTCAAGAGCTTGTAATAATGGTTTTAGGCAAAATTATTCTCCAGAATTTCCAGTCCACAAAGTTAAAGTTCAACTTGCCATCAAATGCATAGGTCTTGCTTTTGTCTAATTAGAAATCAATTGCATTGGACTCATTCTATTCTAATTAAGCATAAGGAAAATGGAGAAAGATGCAGGGAATGGGAGAGAAATAACTTTCATCAAAACTTATGCAATACTTTCTCTTACAGCTGGAATGTTTTTGAAATAAGTAAGGATTTTTAGGGAAAAAGAAGCTATTTGCCACAGATATAAGATTAATTCCAATACACAGTCATAAGCTGCAGAAACTAGTGCTTTATTATTTGGATTGCCCACTTCTCTGCTGTGCACATTCAGTGTCCAAAAAGGTTGTGTGTTTTATGGTCTGATCTGGCTGGTCTTAAAAGGTGAAGATCTACTCTGAGTGCAATGTGAAATATTTTGATAAGTAAGAAGATTTGGAGCAGGCAGTTGACATGGTTCTCATGAAAGAGAAGTCAGCCTACAGGGAGGCTCTGTTGTGAGATCAGGGAAGGTTGAAAGATCAGGGTTTGCAGGGTGGGATCTATATTTGCCACAGCTTCATTCTTTTAGGCTTTTAAGTACACAGTGTTAATATCACTGAGAAAATAAGAGAAAATATATTAAGAATATTGTATTCAGAAAGATGGGAACTGAACACTTATTTTCTATTCATTATCAATATTTTTCATTTCACTTTTACAAAGTTTTACTTTCTCAAGTATGGGTTTTATATTTAACCCTGCAAATGCAGTAAACAAGATGAGCTAATTTTTTGGTCTAGCACATTACTTTGTTGCCTGAATTAACTTCACTTGTTTTATTTTAATAGTTTATTTTTTTAAAGTTTGTATTTTGTATATTGGTGAGGGTGCAGTTAAATCCCAGCACCCTAGACACTCAAAATCCCTTCCTGCAAGCAGCGCGAGTAGAATACTTTCTGTGGGATAAGTCCAGAGTTTAAACATAACATAATTTGCTTGTGTTCATGTGGCTGTTTTTTGTTTTGTGTGTGTACATACATAAATCAGGAGAGAAACAGATTTGACTGGTTTATATTTACATTTGCTGTTAATCTTTGTGTCCTGTCACAACTTCTTAGCTTAGTTGCCCATTCCTTACATTGTTTGTAAATTAGAAAAACTGTAGCTTTACATTGCTACGAAGTCTGAACAATTTCTAGACAGGCATTTGTTTTGACACTTCATCTTTAGAATTCTATATTAATCATTGATTTTAAATACTCTGTAAATCACCTAACCTTTAACAGCATTTATTTTCAATTGATTGCCATGTGACTGTTGTAACACTCTGTCAGTATTTGCCTAGATGGATGTTTGTAAGGAAACTTTATGTGAAAACTTAATGCCTTGATGGCATTTTTTGCTGGAAAGTACTTTAATAGATAGCCTGTTGTCCACTGACCTGGGGAAGATTAAGTAGATTTATCTCCTTAATGGATGAACAAAATTAGACCAGATTGTTTTCAGGCTAGCCTGTGCAGCTTGGTCTGCAGCAGACATCTGAGGGCAGTTCCTCTGAAACTGCTGCTCATTAGTAACCATTTGGGGTGCCCAGTGTTGCTCTTGGCTTTCCCCACTCCAGGCTCTTTCTGCTTTGGTAGGTTCAGGCGAGTTGTGTGCATGTCAATACTCTTAAAATTACTATTTTCATGCTTCCTGAGATGTGCTGAACTTTGGGTCATAGCTAATGGAATGTAAAATAACTGCCAGTGGTTCTGAATCAGTTACATTAGGCTGTTTGTGAATATTTTTTACTACTGTTTAGCTCAAATGTTGTAGTTGCCATTTTATCAGAAACTGTGTTTCCCTTCCCAACCCTCTTTTCCAAAATCCAGCAACCATAGCATCCTGAGCATCCTCTTTAAAAGCCAAAGCACCACTTTCATTCTTGCTGTGTCTATTCAGAAGAATTATAGCAAGAATTAGTGTGTCTGGGAGTTCTCAGAGTGCTATTAGAGTGTAATTCAGGAAGCTGTGGCCAAAATGAGTGTTTATGGTCTATTGCCATGTGTGTGTTTAATAACCAGGAACCATGGTACTTCAGCTATTTTAACACAGTTGAGGCATCTGTGGCAGAAGTGTTGGCAACACCTAAGGCCAGTATAAAAACATGAATTCCAGCATTACTCTTTTCAGTAGGGGAAGAGAAATCTGCTTTACCAGTTTAAACTGTTAGACATAACTAGTACCTGCAGTGGTAATACTGGTAGAAATGCAACTACAAGACTCTGTCAAGTTTGGGATTTCTTTTTCCATTTGAAATCAGATTTTTCATCCTGTGTGCTCTTCATAGTCCCTTTATACATACACTGCCTTTTAATCCTGACGTTTGGGTAAGGTTGGAATATGGGCTGAGCTTGTGAAGTTAGGAACTTCACCGAATCCCTGCTTTCTGCAGCTGGCAAAATACGTTTTGGATTTCCTGTTGTAATGTTTTAGATGTATTTATTTTTTTTCCCCTCCAGAATGAATAAGGCAATAGAATACTGCTGAAATCCTGTCGTTAAGTGTCTGTGCATTTAGGCTTCCTTTCTCAGTGCATTTTTGTGTGTGTGTGTGTTTTAAGTCTAAGGAGCATTTTACTGAGAATCAAAGAAGCATTGTTTCTTCTAACAACCTCCATTTTTGCAATGGTAACATACCAGACAAATTTCATGATTGCACTCGGGATTGTAGAGACAGTTCCTTTATGCAGCTAATATGTATAGCTGTCATCCCTGTTTCTGATAAATTCAAATGTAGTCATCATTTACCTTAATTTTCTCAATTTATATTTAAAAGAAATCTACATGGAGGAAAAAAAAAAAAAAGGCTGTTTAATCTAAGACATGACTACAGGTAGATAGGAGGAGGAATTTTTAAGGAGCATGCCCAGAAAGGCAAGTCAGGGTAGCTGGAGAATTCCTTTAGTACCAATGTTGTGGTTGGCACTACACAATACATAAAAATAGATCATGCTACAAATAGTTTTTCATCTGTTTTAATGAAATGGAATACAGATTTATGGAAGGGAAGCCATTTCCTTGAAAAGAGGATTTAGAAAATTTGCCTTTGTGCATTAATCTGTATCTGGTTTCAGTTGGTTGTAAATAGAGTAATAGTGACTTTTTATCCCCTTTATCTTCTATGTACCATCACGTTTGTACTAGTGAACTTAGACCTTGCAGGAACAATTCAATCACTGCACTAGTGTAGGGGACTCAATGTGGCACTTGCTTGGAAGTAACACAATATTTATTATTTCTAATAATTTTCATTAGGGATGCAGGAGTCATTTTGTGCAGCCGTGGCTGAAGCAGGGTCACCACTCCTAGTGCTCCAGCAAGTCCTGTGCTGGTTATGTTTCCATGGAGCTAGCACAGGAGAAGGGTTGCCTGCCTTAGCTCATTCTCCTGGGCTGTATTTTAATGGTTTTAAACTGAAAGAGAGTAGATTTAGGTTAGACATCAGGAAGAAATTCTTTACCATGAGGGCAGTAAGGTACTGGAATAGGTTGCCTAGGGAGGTTGTGACTGCCCCCTCCCTGGTTCAAGGCTAGGTTGGATGAGGCTTGTGCAGACTGGTCTGATGGGAGGTGTCCCTGCCCATGCAGAGGGTTGGAACCTGATGATCTTTAAGGTCCCTTCCAACCTTCACCGTTCTATGACTCTGTGATTCTATTTGTGCCTAAAATTGGGCAGTAGTGCAGTCTTGGAGTAAGTTTTTAGGTCAGAGACTGCCTCAGGTGGCAGGCTTGGTTTTGTAATAAAGACTTTTTGTTACTTCACGCATAATTGGGGTAGGTTCAGTAGCAAGAACTCCTATATTTTCATGACAGCATTTGCTTGTTCTTGGTGTATCCTCAGCCCTCTGTCAGGACTTCTGAACTGATAGAGACAGTTTTGACTTCTAGGGAAAAGATCTCATCGATACAAGTACTGGTGCTTCACTAGATCATTTCAGGGCTTTTGAAATTACACATTTTGGGCTGGTCTGTAATTTTGGCCTTCACATGCTTGGTTGCACAACAGCTCTGCCGTGCCTTCTGTGTCCTGGCCAGGAGGTGTTTCAGGCACCTCTCCTGCTCCATGAGTGCTCCCTCTTCCCTGCACTGACTCTGCTGATGAGCCTGGACACATGGTCTATGGACACCCCTCCTGATCTTGAGAGGCAGTCAAAAATTGCACTACAGTGGAGTAAACTCCCCCTCGTGGAGAAAACTGGGGGGAAGGAAAAAAAGAAAAGATACAGGAAAACAAAATGTCAGTTGTTTGACTTCAGCAGACTTGTGGAGAAGGAAATCAAGGCTGAGTCTGTGATTGGTGCACACCAGAGTCTGTAGTAGTCTGTATTGCTTACTTGGGCTTTGTGGAGGATCTTGGGGGCTCCAGGTCTGTCACCCTCACCTCAATACTGAGGATGATTATGGAGCAGTTCAGGTGCACTCATGTGGCATATGCAGGACAGCCAGGAGATCAGCCCCAGCATGGGTTCATGAAAGATCCTGCTTGACCAACCTGATCTCCCTTGTTTAGTCTAGGGAAGAAGAGGTTGAGGGGAGACCTTGTTGCTCTGTACAGCTGCCTGAAAGGAGGTTGGAGTGAGGAGGAGAGAAGCGTCAGTCTCTTCTCCCATGTAACCAGTGATAGGACAAGAGACAATGGCCTCAAGTTGCACCAGGGGAGGTTTAGGTTGGATGTTAGAAAAAAATTTCTATACTGAAGGAGTGGTCGGGCTTTGGAACAGGCTGCCCAGGGAAGTGGTAGAGTCACCATCCCTGGAATTGTTAAAAAAACATGTGGATGTAGCACTTAAGGACATGGTTTAGTTGGTATTGTCGTGTTGGGTTGACAGTTGGACTTGATGATCTTAGAGGTCTTTTCCAACCTTAATGGCTCTATGATTCTAATCTAATGCATATAAAAGCAAGCAGAGGAAGGAGCATTGTGGATTGAATTCTAATTTGTTCGACTTCATTGTTTCTAAACTGGAAAGCTCTGTAACTTGTTTCAGTGCTTCAGTCTTGGTCATCTGTCATTGCATATTGCTCCTACTACACAAGTTTCAGTGTAATATTTGGAATGAAACTGCACAACTAGAAAAGACAGAGAATTTACAATTAGTGCCTGAGTTAAGACTTAAGTGTCTTAGCTGTGGTGGCAATATTGTAGAATTAGATTGCTCTTAAAACTTTCTTTTCTTAAAAATTTCGTTTTCTTCCTCACTATAGGGGCCAAACTCCTGCAGAATCTGACTTTCAAGTTCTTGAAATTGCTCGGAAGCTGGAGATGTATGGCATCAGATTCCACCTTGCATCTGACCGTGAGGGCACCAAAATTAATCTAGCTGTTTCACACATGGGTGTGCTGGTATTCCAGGTAAGGTGAGGGTAAGAGGCTGGGTAGGTGTCTATCCATTAGCACTTCTTGGGGCTAAGTCACTCCTTTTAACTATAGGTGTCTGTGATGATTTTAAAACTTGGAACGTTTTTTTTGTGGTTAAGGGAATGTCATTTAAGCCCCAAAATACAGTTTGGTGCAGTTTCCCCTTGTTGGTGCAGAAAGAAGACCATCGAAACCAACAGTGACAATGAAGTAGAAGGTTTTTTGTTGTCTGTTTGAAAGTTAAGGATCATCAGTTTGTTTGGTACAGGCTTGGAATCCTGAATTTTTTAGCATAGTTTCCATTGTTCTAGTGTTGCGGTGTATTTTTGCTGGGATGATGTTGCTTTTAGTGTGTAGAAGTGCTGTTTCATTGAAGTCATGGGACCAATCAGAACTACTACTTTTGTTGCATTAAGTAAGTGACTCAGTGATCAGAGTTCTGTTCATGAATGTGATCATATTATTCCCCCCCCTCAAAACACAGGTGTCCAACCTACTGAGGTATTTCCATTTGGACACTCATTTTCCATTCATTTTGTGTCTTACCTGATATTTTGTTACAGTGGGGCAGCTCCTCTTTGGAGATTCATCAGCCCCTGCAGTCCTGTTAATTCCTTTGTCCTCCTAAGTGACCTCTCAGCCCCTCATTTCAGCTCATTTGGGTTTTTCTCTTGAAGTACCATTTTTCATATCCCTTTGCTGTTGTGAGGGTGACAGAATTGCTGCAGCAGTGAGTGCTGACAGGGTCCTTCCCTGAGGCTTAGGGAGTCAGTGGGATGGGGAAGGGAGGGCAGATGTAGGGCAGCAGGGTGAAGGCAGAGCCTGGTTTTAGCCAAATAGGCAGGGTTTGTGAGTAAGAGTGCTTGGCAAGATTCCTAGCATGTGTGGCAAGTACTCCTCAGTATGTTGTACTGCCCAATTGGAAAAATGAGCTTGGAGGAGTGTGACTAGAGTTCTGTGCAGAGGAAAAGGAAAGCACATTAAATAAAATTATAATCGTCATCTTTCCCAGACCATAAAGTATCCTGAATATTGATGGGGTTGCAATGTTCCTTTCCCATCAGTTTTCTAGATTTTCATTCAGTTTTCTACTGTCTGCACAGAGACACAAACACTGAACACTCATAGCTATCCCTGTACTGAAAGATACAATTGTTTAAGGGAATATTGCCACCAGGAATAAAAATCCAACAGAATGGGCTGGTGGGTGGTGTGTGTGTGCCCATGCAGATGTCTATATGCCCACAACAGAATTTTGTTTGCTGCTCTTACTGCTGAAACTTTTGCCAACTTCTAACTGTTATTTTAATTCAGGGTAATACGAAAATCAACACCTTCAACTGGTCAAAGGTCCGTAAACTGAGCTTCAAGAGGAAAAGATTCCTTATTAAACTTCACCCAGAGGTCTGTGTAAGTTTTACTATAGTAATAGGCTGATCAGTGTTGAAAGAAAAACACCTTTGTTGTGAAAAATTCTGGAGTTTGTAATTTTTTAAAACTGCTTCAGTGGGGTAGGCTTGGATTCATCATACAAGTAACAATCTTTCCTTTCTCACCCTATGTCTGTTGTCTTAGATTTTTAGGTTCTGTGCATCAGCCTCAGCTTATTTTTGACATAGGATTGCACATGTGTACTGTAAGATATGGAAAAAACCCCTCAAAAAACCCAAGTATTTTTGTCTCTGTACTTCTATTCTGAAAAAGTTACACAACCTCAGGCACAAATATGGACTGGGGGAAGAATTTTCCCGCTGGGAAAATCAGGAAGAAATTACTCACCATGAGGGTAGGAAGGCACTGGAACAGGTTGCCCAGGGAGGCTGTGGATGCCCCCTTCCTGGAGGTGTTCAAGGCCAGGTTGGATGAGGTTTGTGCAGCCTGGTCCAGTATGAGGTGTCCCTGCTCATAGGAGGGAGGTTGGAGCCTGATGATCTTTAAGGTCCCTTCTAACCTTAATCATTCTGTGATTCTTTAATTTAATATTTCCCTTGGATATAAAGGGAAGTTAACACTCAACACTGATCCATTATTGTCAAAATGAACTAAGACAACTTAAGCATTGAAATAGTAAATCTCTGTTGTTTAGGTCAAAGTGTGTTGGGAAAAATCTAGTAGAGTCCCTTCATTCAAACCTGATACACCTCAGGAAATAACAGATGGCTGAGATTATATTGTTGGAGTTTAATTTTAAGGACTGTGTGATTAGTGTTGATACAGCCTTATCTTTTCTGTATGTCTGTAGGGCAGAAGTATTCTTTTTCATGCTTGGCTGATTTAACAGTACATGTTTTTGATTGCAAGTGTTGTCAAAGTTGTTGTTGCTTCCATACTGGATAACTAGATTATGTTTGGATTATATAGGATTATATTAAATGTTTGGATTATATAGGATTGTATTAAAATGAGGGAAAAGAGTGTTTGGACATACTATGGTTATGTGTGCTAAGGAAACATGAAGCAGGACACACTGTCTTCATGTATAGTAATGTGGTTTACAAAGAGAATCTCAAATTTCATGTGAAATTTCATTATTTCATTGTATTCCAACATCCACAGTGTTATCCAGTCTTTTCTAAATCTCAGGAAGTGAGACAAGCATCCGAACTTCTAAGGAAAAATAATGTTATAATTGCTATTATTTCACTTAAATATTTTAACTTCTTTCATGCTTCTTAATTTACAATCCATATTTCTTAAGGTGGATTATTATGTTTTGTTCCCAGGGCCCATATCAAGACACGTTGGAGTTTCTTTTGGGAAGTAGGGACGAATGTAAAAACTTCTGGAAAATCTGTGTTGAATATCACACCTTCTTTAGGCTCTTTGATCAGCCAAAGCCAAAGGCTAAAGCAGTGTTCTTCACCAGAGGGTCATCCTTCAGATACAGGTAGGAAGAAACAGAACAGATTTATTAAAGCTGAATTCCTTATGTCTTAGAAAATGACATCAAGAGGACAAAGTATTCCAAAGTAATTCCATTTATAATTCTCATCCACTGCATTTCATAATGTTAGTGTTTTTGTGGGTTCACAGTGGACGAACTCAGAAGCAACTAGTGGATTATATTAAGGACAGTGGGATGAAGAAAACCCCATATGAAAGGTAAGCACAAATACTTTTGTAGTTGATATGTTCACAGTGCCCTTTCTTCCTATGTTTCAGTGTTCCTAAATGACTTTGTGACGATTGATTTTCTAGTAATTTATTGACATAGAATCTAACCAGAAGAATGATGCAAGATGCCACTTTTTGGAGTGTAACATATAGAATTTTCTGTCCCATAAATTATGTGGTTGGATGAATTGGAAGTTGTTAGTAAAATTGTTACAGATTAACTCAAGTCCGTCTTTGAAGCCGTTGATTTGTAGATGTTTTTACTGATGACAAAGGAAGAAGTTAAACTAAATGTGCTATTTAATCTAGTCTTCTACCCCAAGTTGCTCTTGACTTGTCCTGCAGTGAATGATCTGGATCTTGCTTTATTCCATTTTCTGTATGTTCCTTACTCCTGCATTAACTCACAACTCCTGTGACTTTTAAAATCTCAACTAGTTATTAACAAAGCGTGATAAAATGCAGCCTGAGATGTTTCTGTTGGCTGCTAGAGTTGGAACCAGCTGAGTGGGGAGGGGATAAGGCTGCCTTGGGAGCTCACAGGGTGCTCTCTGTTCTGCAGGAGGCACAGCAAAGCCAGAGCATCCACTCGCGTTTCGAACACCAACGTGCCGAAACAGGTCAGTGCTGCAGCGCTTGGATATTGCAGTCAGGGAAGCTGACAACCAAGTGATGGTGAAGGAAAGGTGATCTGAGTGAACTATTTGTCTGGAATCCATTTCATGTTTTATTTTTACACGGTTTAAATTATTTTCATGAGTGGTGTTAGTTTTGGTAGTTGTAGCTAAGAGAGTCTAAAGTGAGTCATATTTTCCTTTTCAGAGTTCAGTTTAACTGAAAAGAAAATGTCATGCTTTCTTATATGTTATTATTTCAGAGGGTTAATTTGTCTTGAGGTGCTTACTGCTTCCTGTGAAAGTCTTTATGTTCATTGCATCAATGCCTTCTACAATCAGTGGCCAGAAACAAGTGTTTCACTGAATGGGGTTTCTTTATGTGCAAGAGGTTAAGGATCACAGGATTTTACTGTCATTGTTTTGTGTTACTTTCTCTTTTGGATGCTTTTTCAGCAGAGGCTGTAAAACACAGGGATTTAATTTTCTATCCAGTTACCAGAATTCAGGAAAAAATACCTTGCCTCTTACTGGGGATGCTGGATCTGTTTCTGTATGCAATGTTCTGTCTGCTGTAAAGTGGGTTCTTTTGAAGTGCACATAATCCTTCTGCATCAGGAACTGGATGTTGCTTTTGTTTTTCTGTGTTTTAAAAACCTTTTTATGTGTTTTGTTTCTACTTTTTTTTTCCTCTTAGAGTATCCCATTCACTGAGGGCTTGAGAACCCCAGGGTCTCCTGCCTCAGCAGCTGCCCCCTTCCACTCAGTTCACTCATCGGCCACTCCTCCTGTCCTGCCCATCTTTGCAGAAACCAACCCTTCCTCTTTGGATCCCCGAGCACCATATACAAGGATCCCAGAAAAAAACACTGCAGCACCTGCAGAAGAAGTGGGGAGGAAACTGATGCAGCAGCCTGGATCTCCCATGCTCCAAGGTGTTGGGTTTGGTAGTGTTGCAGGAAACTGTAACCCTGCTTGTCCTGTTTCTGAGAGTGGTTGCAATTTAGATCTAGATGTAGAGAAAAGCAGTAAGGAGAACAGAGTGGCTGTTTGTAAAAATGACAATGATGAGGATGACTTTACCACAGGTGTTTCCCTTGCTGAACAAGACCATCAGCATGGCAGTCAGGGTGCCCCTCGTTTCACATTGACAAATTCACAGTTACAGGTGTCAGAGGAATTCATTGATGATGACCCAGCAGAAATGTCCTTTTTTGCTGGGGGTTCTGAGGCATTTACATACGTGTACAGTGGTGTAGAGTTAAAGGGCTCTGATTTTTCCAAGTGTGTGTCAGAGTCTCCTGGCTTAACTGCAGATGCCCTGCAGCAAAATACAGTCTCTTCTCAGTCAAGCCCTGACAGGTACTCAACCGAAGCAGTAGATATGAATATGGAAGATGAGTTTGAATTTGAAGAAGGGAGTGATTTCAATGGCAATGAGAGACCATCAGATACCTCAGAGCTGTTTGAGGTGAAGGCCCAAGCAAGCAGAATGCAGAGCCTCCTGAGCCCTTCCGAAACCAGTTCGCTCATCAACAACCGCTCTGAGAGCAGCTCCCTCAACAATTTGCCTCTCAATGGTCCCTCCTCCCTGCACACCTACAGCTCTGCCAACCATTCAGAGGCCAGTTCTATGGTGAACTTCCCTGCCTACTCAGTCCACTCTGAGTCCAGCTCAGCCTTTCAGTTCACAGACATTATTGACCAGCTGGAGCAGCTGAGCTATCCTCCTACCACCACGGAAGACTCCAGCAGCACAGACACGGACTCCTGGGACTCTGAAACTGCTGCACCACTGGATGTAAACCTTTTCTTTAGTAACCCTTTTGCTCAAGCCACCAGTGAAAATTTTGCTTTTGACTTCCAGAATAATTTAAAAAATCGCACACAAGAAGACTGGACGGAGAAGGCACATGCCAATTAATTGATTGATTCTTGATTTTTTGTGATAGATCCCTCTATACTGTTCAGGCTTAGAAATGCAAAGGGTGTGATGTCAGTCACTTTAAGCAAGAAAACTCTAATCCAGTGGCTGGACTTTAAATCTCATAATGTCATTGATTTTTATTTGTTTTTTTCCAAAGTACCTCTCCAGCTTCCCTCCAAGCATCCTAGCTTTGCTGCTCCATTATATGCATCCCTGTGCATCCAAGAATGTCTTCTAATAGGCTGTGATGTTCTCAAAATACTGCAAGTATCATCAGCTGGTTCATGCAGACATCACAACTTAAAGTATGTTGAAGGATTTCTTTGACTATAAACTTATCTGCAAGGGTCTGATATAATATGCAGTTCCTCCCGGAACCAAATCCAACAGTCCCTTTTGCCCTTGCTTGTTAACAAGCAGCCACATCCAGTGAATTAGCTATTTTCCTGCTGTGCAGTGAGACTCCTCATTTTGGGGTGTTTTTTTTTGTTTCCACAACCCAAAACATGGACAATCTTCAAACCAACTATGAAGGAAAATTTTAAAACATCAACCTATGCAACATGTCTGTGGTATATTTGAAGAAGAGGGAATGTGTACACAAGGGAAAGCAGCAGTCACCAAAACTTCTTGTGAAGACAATCGTATTTTCTGACTTCAAAGTGCCTTCAGAAATCAAGCAACAAACAAGTAATCTTCTGCTTTGCAGCAGTGTGGAGATATATGCAAAGACTATAAAAGCACTTAATCCCCATTCCATTTTGTCTCACCTTTTTCTTTATTTAATCACTCTGAAAAAAACCCACACTTACAAATGACTCAATGAAAGTGTCCTTAATCTGTGGAAGACAGGTGGTGCTAAACCTGGTCATAGCTTTAACTTCTTTAAAATAGATACTGTATTCAGAAAAGTACTGTAAACTGCCTGGGAAATCTGAGATCTTAGGAGGAGTGAATACTGCAGACAACAGTTAGAGCTTCACTGCTTTTACAGATTATTTGTTTTTTAGTCAGGTAACTTTGGCATGAGACTTGATCTGTGAGTTTGAAAGTGTAATTGAAAAGGCAGTTACTGAACTGGCCATATGAAATTTAGCAACGTTTATTGACACAAAACAGTAATAGTTATGGAATGTCCAACCTGATGGATTCAGGGGGGATGAAGTTCTGAGCTTCAGCTTGTAATAGCATTTTTTTATAGTATTTTGCTTTTGTACAAGCAGGAGTGTGAAATATATAACACCTGACCAAAACCTTGTGATGGGAAGCATCATCTCCTTCAGCCATTTGTTTTGGGGTTCTCTGTTGCCCAGTTTTGAGTCCTTTACAGTTTCCAGGAGGAGTGAGTGCAGTACTAGTGCAATCAATGTCTCCAAAATAAGCAGCTTACAATTACAAGCACAACTTTATACTCAATAATATTCCTATCAGTTTTCTTAAATGTGGTCTTGATAAATCACTAAAATACCTTCATTCTTTACTCAAACATTTTAAAAAAATACTATTATTTCTCAAAATTCTGGTAACTAAACCATCAAGGGAATTCCTCTCAAGGTATGGTAGAACAGGAGGAGGTAAAACCTCCTTTAGTCACCCATTTCTTCTAGTGTAGTTTTTACTAAAGTATCATAATTCTTCACAGCACTTGCTTTTACATTGTGGTTACTGTGTTTGAGTGGAGTTGCTGCTGTTCCCTAAGAAATCTGTCTTCTTTGCCAGTGGCACAGAAAATGAAAGCATATTCTAAATAGTGTTTATTAGTTTGGACCTACAGGAAGGTACAGCAGTTTGATTGCTCTTTTTTTGCTTGTAAGTGGTACCGGTTTTGTGGGTGACTTTTTTTCATGTGACTTTATTCATACCTGTGGAGATGCTGTGGTGAATGCGTGGTAGGACATTTCTAGAGGCACTTGGAGGAGGTCCTCAGTTGGGTCCAGAGCTGGTACCTTGAAGCATGTTCTTAGGCAGTTGGTTTCCTTCCCACAGCTAACTACATTATGTAATTTGAAAAAGAAGAAAAACAGAAAACAAGTACTTCTGCCTGCAAACTCTCTTGGAGGTGGTAAGAGTCAGGGACTAAAAGATTACCTAAAGATTTAGAGGAAAGCTGGTAATTTCCTTATCTTTTAAGAAAATTCAGCTATTTGCAGATAACCATGTCTGCCTCCATTTTATGTTCTGTGCCTCAATCACAGGCATTCTCTCTACATGTTTGAGAATTGCTTAATATGGGAATAAATGCAACTACAATCTCTAGGTTTTCAAAAGATTTTGGGGAAACGCTGCCTGCGTTTTCAGTAGACACACTTGGCAATCCTGAGAGAAGACTTGCCAGGATGTTTTCTTGCAATGTAGTTAATTTGAAAAAGCATCTTCAGTGTTTTGCTTCTTGTATTTTGCAGTTGTGCAGGTCTTTTATTGGCAATTTTAAATCTCAGGGATTTTCTAAAAGAAATAAAAAAGTAATCATAGTCTTAATGTAATGCCCCTTTTGTTTTCTAAAGGAATGGGAGTGGTAAGCATCTTGGTCCTTTAGCTTGGAGAAAGATGTGTATATCCAGAGGTGAGAACAAAGGTGGTTGGGTGAGGGGAGCTTTGACCCAGGTATGAAGCTGGTCAGATAAAGGCTTTAGTTAGACATGTCACCAGGAACACTGATCCTTCTCGTCATCCAACTGCTCTGGATACCTGGATTTGGGATACTTGCACAAAGACAATGCTGGTCAGCACCTCTGGACTGGTATCACTTGCTGGGATTGCACATCATGGGGTACTTGCAGGTTGTGTGAGAGAGCTGGGTGCTGCTGCCTGTGCCCCTGGCAGCTGCTCTGTGCTGTTGCTAATGGACAGCATGTAGCTGATGTGGTTTCTTTCTGGGCTTTTCTGGTTTTCAAACTAGATGGCTTCTGATGACATAATTGCATGCTTAGCTCTGTCATTTTATTTGTGGTTTCCAAGATAGGCACAAAGGAGGAGAAAATTAAGTTCCTAAGTACAGTTTTTATTATAGCCAGAAAGCTGTGAGAAGAGTTTCTTCGTCATTTCCTCCAGAGGGATAAGTTCTGATTCACTTTCCAGTAGAAATGGAGAAAAACCAGCCTGCCTTCAAGGGAAGTGCTTCACAGTGAACTCGGGCACCAATTGTGAGTTGTTTTACTGCCTTAGAGCTATGCCAGGCATCCTTTTCTCCCCAGCTGTCTCTTGAGGTGGCAGGAGGAGACAAGAAGGAGAGGTTCACCATTGTCTGTCTGCGTTGTTTGTCTTGGGTAGTGTGAGGGAATTGGCGCCCTTGGGTGAAGTATGGTTGTGTCCCAGGTACCAGTGATGCTACTGAGCTTTCAGTGCTACTACTTGCAGTTGGTTTTTGTTTTTTTAAGTGTTGATACTACTAAAACTTTCTTCCCAGTACTGATGGTGTTTTAATCCTGACCACATGGGTTTCCTGTACAGGAAAGTGAGTAGTGTGCTGGCAGCTGTGGAGTTGGTGCTACCTAACCAAGAGGGCTTGGCCCCTTGCAGACGCTGAGCAGTAAAAGCTGCTGTGGGAGTCGCATGACATGAAAAAAAGGAGGAGATTACATAGAAAAAATGAAAAGATCTTTGGTGAACATCCCATGCATGTTCACCTTGAGAAGAAGGAATTTGAGGAGCTGTGGTAAGAGCACATGAAAGCTTAGGTGCAAACCTTCACTTGTCTGTAAGTGGTCATCCTCTCCTCCTTCTAACAGTGTCATTTCTGAAAGGTACGTTCTTTCATGTTTGCTTTCTGCCCCCATCTGGAGGAGGCTGGGGAGAACATATATAGGTACTTATATTCTAGTTGATGTACAGGTTTTAGTGCTGTGGTTTTTTATGGAGAACCACTTGGGTTTCCAGGGTTGTTCTGCTGCTCCAAACAGTATATCCATCAGCTGTTGCAGCAGTAGCTCAGCAAGGGGAGCATGCTGAAGCCATTGCTCCTGCTCCTCAGTAAAACAGGGCTGTTTTCCATCCTTCCACTTCTGTGTCTTCCTGTTTTAGCAAATACATGCAGCTGTAGAAAGTATGCCAATATTAGTGGCTTTTCAAAATGAGTTAGGCTGATAGGTTTTGCTCTCTTGCAGTACTTGTGCATTCCAGTGTGACCAAAAGACACTAAGAAATGTGTGTCTTCAGTGAGTAGATTAATCTGCACCTGTAGTCCTCTATGTGTATCCTTACAACCCTTCTATGCTTGAACACATGTATCAAACATAAATCACTTAATCAGAACATTGTTGATCTTGTGCATGCAGTTAGTGGAACTCTTAATTTGCACAGAACATGGGTCATAGAATATTCACTGATGTATCCACCACCCAGTTTAACACTGGTAAAGTTTACTAGCCTGTGTTACCTGTCGTATGTAGCGTCTGTAATTTTAAAATACTCATTCAAATAATACATGCTGTGTATTTCCCAGGACTTAAAATATTTTATCTTAGGATGGAATCAGATGATATATGAATCTGCTCTCAACTTTCACTTTAATTTCCAGTGGATTTCAGAGTTGCTGGGTAATACCAAGCATTGATCTTTTTCCTGTGTATATTTGTGTTGTGGTAATAGGTGATTTTGTTTAAGGGATATTTTTTGTTTTGTTGGTGGCTTGATTTTTGTTTGGTGTTGGGTTTGGTTTTTTGGTTGTTGGTTTTTTTTTTTTGGTGGTGGTAGTTTTTTGTTTAGTTGCAAGTCTTGATAAGGGTAAGAGTTTGTGGAGACACTAATAAAAGTCATTAGAATGTTATGTTTTTTGATGCAAACCTGTCGGTAAGTCATTCCCATTATTGTCATTTTGCAAAAAGTTCCAAGCCATAATTATCTGGTATTGAGTGAATGAATCACTATTCACTACAATTCTCACAGTAGTTCTTTAGCTGCCATTACCTGTAGTTTTTAGTAGATCTATGCTGAGTGTATAAGTATACATATACACTCTGTATGAATTTGGGGAGACTTTGCAGTTCCAAACATGGATCAAAATATCCACTTAATTTTTTTGATCTACTAGTGGGCTGCTGTAGCATTAGCCTACCAGGTGAGCTGTAGCTTTGCAGGTTTCAAATCTGGAGCATTAATTGAACCTGATGTGTGGGGAAGGTGTTGTTATACATTTGCCAAAGTCAAAATATTCTGCTGTTGCTTGAATGCACAAGGCTCAGGTGGCAGCTGAGTGGGTGGCTTGTGACAGGCCTGCAGAGTGGAAAAAACACAGAATGCCCATTTATCAATAGGTACAGGGGTACACACACCCTGGGGAGACTGGCTCCCCAGTCCAACAGGTGCTACTCTTTTCAGGAGAGATTACCTTAAGGAAACAAAGAGGGCTGGAATTTCTTAATTGATCTCTTGAACTTTTTTTATACAGTAAATGTTTTATTGAATTACATGCTGGGATTTTTAATATCTTTGTGTCTGTTCAGATTGCTGGTTATGAACCTACAGATTTGTACTAATTCATAATTTTAATTGTTTATGCAATAAAACAAGGATAACTTTGATATAAATGACAACATGGGCTTTTTAGCTTTATTTTTCAATTACCCTTCTGTTTGAAATAGAATAAATATTTGTTCTCATAGTCAAGGTTTCTTAAGGGTTTTATTACCAAATTGGCCCAGGCAGTTTTCCTCCTCTACACCTTTGTTACAGGTAGAGCACAGATGGGGCAAATATCAGTGTGTGGTTTTCAAATTACTATTTTGTGGAAACCTTTTGCTGGTGATACAAATGGGACTAAAAGTTCAGATTTTGTTACAGGAATCCTGTTTATTGTGGAGACATTTTCTTGCAAACTGGGTAGTTCTCTTGAACTGTCTTCTGCATATTTGTTTTTGTTGGAAGCCTGTCCTTCATTTTAAGCATAGGGTATGGAGGCAGTTGAATATTTTCTCAGTTTAAAGTTCTCCTTCAGGAGTTTGTGATCAATGTCTGGGTTAAATCCTCTATTCCTGAGTCACATGTACATTGCTTTAAAAAAAAAAAAAAAGGTTAGTACTTGCATGAGTAAACTGAGTAGGTTTCTAGGCTAATTTGAGTTGACATTTTAAATAAATTCTTCTTACTATTAAGTTTGCTTGATTTATTAAAAAAATTAAGACATCCACTCCAAAAAATTGCTTTTCAGCAAGGAGGAGTTACTGGGTGGAATTGGCTCTGACTTGTTTTTGAACAGATTTCGGAACACATCTTAGAACATAGCATGTTATGTTACTTTATTGCAGGGGTTGAATTTGGTGAACTTTGCTTTGGTTGATTTTTCTGCAAAGTTAAACCAATTTTACATAGTCTTAAGGAAAAGATGTGCCTGACATAAATGAGGGATTTAGGTTGAAACCCTGACCATGCCAGTGATGCTGCCAACAGAGCTTTGTGCAAACTGGTAGTTTGAGCTCAGGCAGGTCAAAGCTGGCAGTACAGCATCAAGAAATTCCTGTTGGACACTGTGACAGTGTAAAGGTTTACAAGTTGCAGTCTGTCACCACAGGTGCCTGTTCTTTCCTCCTTGCAAATGGTGTAGCCTTTACAAGGTGGGGAGTGTGGTGAACAAAGGGCAGTCATTTCAGATCCTGGAGGCAACCGTAAACGTGTGACTCTCCTACATTATCACATGAAACTGTGGTATTGTTTGCTTAAGGATAGGTGATTGTAACTCAGTACTATTAGTGTTCTTAAAGACCTTTGAGAAGGAGGAATATTACAGTGAACTGACACATTTCTTGATGTTGCATTGAGTTAAGTGCATTTGTGTGTGATGTGGAAGCAGAAGTTTGCCATGTACAGAATGCAGTTGTGTCTGTGAGGGGCTGGGGTGTGTCACTGCACACGCAGATCATTGCTTGGAAACCCTGACTCCTGCTTACAGTGAAGCTTCCCAGTTTGGGGCGTTTGTCGTATGATTTTACATGTACGGAACAAATTTCCACTTTGTGCAGGATGTTGAAAGGTGAAAATGTCCCTCTGAGAGAATTGGCCATTTAGTATACATGGAGGATGCTGCTGCCTGCAGGGCAGGGAAGACCTCAGTGCACCAGGGTTTGATGGCAGAGGAAATAATTCATGGGTTTTGTTCTACACACCAATATTTCTACCTAATTAGGAGCTTCCTGCACTGAAGAGCTGTCAAAAATGGCAATGGCTGCTCCAGCTGTTGCACAGATTCTTCCTTCACCATCCTTCCCTGGGAGACTAGAGGACTGCTGTACATCTTACCTGTTTGACTGAGAGCTCCCCCCTGTGCTGCTCTAGTGAAGAAATACTTCTTGGACTGTGAGAATGGAAGTGACAGTTGGTTTAACATCATCAGCCGAAATACGTCATCATATTGAGTTCATATAAAACATTTAAACCTCAGCAAAAAAGCTCACCCAACCTGCTCCACAGCATTCTGTAGACCTTCCTAGGAAAGCCCAGTTTGGGAAGTCACACTAACCTTGGAAACTCCCTTTGCAGAATTTGCTTATCTAAGTTGACAGCCTGTTACAAGTTGCAGCTTTAACAGTTCCTTCCTGAATTCTTTACTGTTTACAGGAGGCTACAGGGTGCCCTCCTATAGCTATGGGCATGGAGGGGAAGGGCACTCCTGCCTCTGAAGAAGCCATAGGCATTGGCAGCTGTAAGTGGGACCCCCCTCCATGACTTGGGGTGAGGGGAAGCTCTGTGCTTCTGCATCCTGAGTCCTGCTCCTTGTTCAGGCTTCTCAAGGAGCTGAACATGCTGCTCACTTTCATAAATCCTTCTGGCTTCGGGCAGCAGGGTTCTTGCCGTCAGATACAAATGAGAAGGTGTTTAAAATTAATTTAAAGGCCATCTTCTGCTGGAGATGATAAGAAGTAGAACAACTGGATTGACACAGGCAGGCACTGGGGTTTGTGTGTAGCAAGTTCTATCCATTCTGCTCCCCCTGTATCTGAACATTTGGTCAGAAAGAAGGAGAAGCAATTCAAGTTACAGTTTCTGGAACGTGTCACTACATCGTGTTAAATTCCAAGAATTTAAAGAAGCTACTCATCCCTGTAAACCTGTAGCATGTTTGGTTTTAAGCTGTTGTTCAGGCCTCCCTGACATGGAAAAGCAAACTTCAATAAACTCTTGTCCCCATGTAGGTGAAACAAAGGCCAGACGTTGTTTTTCCGTGCAAATATTAAAAGCAGAGGGAACAAGGAAGCTATCCACTCCAGAATGACTGTGCTTGACTAGTGTATTAATAGTTAACTCCGCAGCCTGGATGATAGGAATCTCTTCCAGGTGACTGAGTGCAGCACTGTTTAGCTTCCTGCATTTGTCAATGTGAAAATATGTGCTCGGGCTCCCTCGCTGTTGTCGCTGCCGGAGCCTTGCGCTGCTTTTGCTTCCTGAGCCAGAGAGCAGCAGCCCTTCCTGCCAGTACTGAACCAAAAAGTCCTAGCTCCTCCTCCAGCACCCATCTGTGTCAAGAGTTACTGGATATCCACAGGAACTGTTTGTTGGTTTTTTGTTTGTTTTTTTTTAAAAAAAGACTTTTGACATGATTTTCTCAATAGTCTGGGAATGCTGAGTTGGTATTTTCGCTTTGTCTGTTTGATTTAGCCCTTGCTCTCTGCTTGTAACACACAACAAATGGTGCTGGGGAGAGTTGTGACCATGGAGCAGCTTTTCAGTTGCCTGATCTGACAGGGCTTGTCAGTTTATCATAGGGAAGATCAGAAAAAAAAAGAAAAAGAAAAAAAAGAGGAAAGATTTGGCAGGAATTTTGTGGGTGTAGCGTGAATAATTGGAGTGTCTGTTGCCTTTGTTTGTTCCCAAAAAGCAGAGCTTCTTGAGCCGTTGTTGAGCCCCTGAGGAGTGTCTGCATGCTGTTTGTGAGGAGTCTGCAGGAGAGAGGAGAACAGCTACTGTTCATAGGCTGAAATAATTCACTGTGGTGGTACCTTATATGTCAGAAATCTCTAGAGTCCACAAGTGAAATGAAATGGCAATATAAAAAAGAGATTGACAATAACCTGAAGCAAAGCAGCTCCTGTTACTCCTGCATCAGACAAGTTTTGGATTGTGTCCATCCAATTAATGCATGTATTTAGAAAAGCCAGGAATTAATTCTCTTGTATGATCCCTTTTTTTTGTATAGCAATATGTTTACCTCTCCTTTTGGTACAATTTTGGAGATTCTCTGATTTCTGAATGCATTTTTACGAAGTTTTAACCTCTGGATTTTTTTTTCTGGAGTGGAGAGTAGTGGAATGGTTTGTCCTAGCTTTTCCCTGAAGTGAAAAGCAATTCCTACTTTAAAAAGGAAAAATTCTTACTTTAAAAAGCAATACAGTGTATTGTTGCTACTGCAGTATAATCCTAAATTGTGAACTCTTCTGCTATTCAACAAAATCCAGTGGGATTTGAGCACTTTTCCCTAGTCACTGAGCAATTTCTCCTTTCTCTTAAAAAAAACTGTAAAGGTGTTTGTCTTTACTGTGCTGCCATGCAGCAGCTGGGTCACAGGGAATGCTCCTTTTGCTATGGAATATGCACTTCAGTCTTTAGGTCTACATGCCTTTCTTTCTTTTTTTTTTGCCCTTTTTTTTAATACTGTGTGATTGGAGTTATGGTTTACAGTAACAGTGGGTGATCTTCTTAAATGTGCTGTCTTCAGAACAATTTTCTCTCCTTTTCCACTCCATCTTACTGTTCTCTCCCCACCTAGGCCTCCCAGTGGACCATCCTCAGCTCTCTTCCCTCATGCTGAAGAGTTCCCTGGGCTTGAACCCAGCGTTTCAGGTGAACTTGAATGCAGCTGGCCAGGGTTCATCTCCTCTTCTGAGTCCTGTCCTCAGTGATGCTGGTGGTGCCAGGATAGAAGAGGACGACGAAATGAAACGTAAGGTAAGATAATGACACGACTGGGGATTTATGTGATGAGAAGAGTGATGGTTTCAGGTGAGGAGCTGTGCTTTGTGCTCACTGGTTGTTGATTATGTTATGTTTTGTGGTAGAACAGAGGTGCTTGTTGGTTAGTGCTAAAAATTTCTGTGCTGAAGGTTTGGTTGGGTGTGCGTATCTCACTGTTGTGGCAGGAGTCTCTGCTGTCCCTTGGGGTAGGGGTATTCTTGGTGTCTGCTGCTGGGACCACCTCCCACGGATTTAGCAGGAACAGCCACTGAGAGCCCCAGCATCACAGGGAGCTGTGCTCAAAATCTGCCCTCTGTACAGAGTCACAGAATCAGAGTGGTGGGGGTTGAAAGAGACCTCTGAAGGTCATTTAGTCCAACCCCCCTGCCAGAGCAGGGACCCATAGAGCAGATCCCCCAGGGACATGTCCAGGCAGGTTTGGAATGTCTCCAGAGAAGGAGACTCTACAGCCTCTCTGGGCAGCCTGTCCCAGTGCTCTGTTACCCTCACAGTAAAGTGTTTCCATATGTTCAGCTTGAACCTCCTGTGCTCCGGCTTGTGCCCATATTTTTGTAAAATGCTCTCTTGCTTTTGAAATGGTAGTTCCCAAAGTGACATTATTTTTAAGAATCTTGAAATACAGATAGTATTTGATAGTAAAATCAGTATTAGAGACTACAATCCTGAATAGAGGTACCCTGTTAGCATTTAACTGCTCTGTTGGCACACAGCAAGGGGAAGAAATGTATGTGAGGTTTGAGCTTGTGCTTAGTAATAAATAGAGTAGTTATATTTTAATACCTCTTGCTCACTGTGTGTTCTTTCAGCGTTTTCCAGCTGACAAGGCCTATTTCATAGCAAAGGAGATTCTCGCTACAGAACGGACCTATTTAAAGGACCTGGAAGTTATTACAGTGGTGAGTTATTCACTTTCCATAATGCTTTCCCTTTTCTTAACAGATTTGTAATTGTTAATGTGGAAAAACTTGGAATTTCTTCCAGGTAACAGAAGAAGAAAGTCCTACGGTAAAGCACAGCCCATGAGCCAAGTGGCTGTTACCTTCCTTCTTCTTTAGGTCCTCATGTGGGAGAGCAGATACTTGCTCTGGACTTTTCTTGTCAGCTTTAATAGCTCCATGTCATTTGGATATCCTAGGCAGACTTTCTCTCTCAGAATTGTGAACAGGGACAGCCTAAACATGTTTTGTATTCATTTTTACTGGTAGAGTCATTGCTGTCAGCTCTGTTTATAATCTAGCCATCATCTCTGTGATGGTCCTTGGAAAGCTTTTCTCTTTGTGCCCTCAGACTGTGAGAGCAAATTACAATTGCGAAGAATCCATTGGGGTTTGAGGATTGTCTTTTTTGTCTTTGATTTTGTCTTTTTTTGTCTTTGTCTTCATTTGTTGCTACTTTTACTTTCCTCTCCTCCCCTTCTTTCACCCAGAGTAGATAAGTGAGTCCTTGTGTGGAGGACAGCTTGAGTTTTTGTTCATTTACTCCAGGTTTGAAAACTGAATTTTGTGTTCCTATAAGCTGTTTGTTTAATTTCATTAAGGAGAAGTTTGAGTCCCTTAATGCCATATGTCTTCAGTCGAGGTGTTCTCTGCAAGCTCAACAAGCACCAGCCAGAATCACATGTCATGATTGGAAAAGACCTCTAAAATCAGAGCCAACCATCCACCCAGGGGAAGGAAAACAAACCACAAACCCACAACCACACACCCCACAAAACAAACAACACACAATCCACAAACAACCTCCCATGCCCACCAGAGCATGCCCTGAAGTGCCACATCTACATATTTCCTGAATCCCTCCAGGGCTGGTGACTCCACCACCTCCCTGGGCAGCCTGTTCCAGTGCCTGACTGATCTTTTGGTAAAGAAACTCTTCCTAATCTCCAGTCTAACCCTCCCCTGGTGCAGCTTCAGGCCATTTCCTCTGGTCCTGTTGTTATTCACTTGGGAGAAGAGGCCAAAGCCACACTGTTCCTGCTGCAGGCCAGGATGCTGTTGGCCTTCTTGGCCACCTGGGCACACACTGGCTCATGTTCAGCTGCTGTCAACCAGCACCCCGAGGTCCTTTCCATCATCATCTCATCTTATGCAAATTCCTCCTACAGGCTTCTCAGCACTTCTCCTAAAAGATGGGGGAACCATCTGGCATCTCAGAGGATTTTTGTAGTATTCATGTCCTGCCCAGGAAGCAGGGAATTGGAAATGATAAGAAGTCTAGTATGTGACATGCAACAAGATGTCTCCAGCTACTGAGTAACTTGCACAGAGCTCCAAGTTTCATGAAAGAGCAGTTGTATCTGTGTTGAGGTACAAGCAATGCTGTAACAGCAGCTGTGGCAGCCACTTGGAATTCACTGTCCTTCAGAGTTACCAACCATCTCATCATTGCATCAAGAAACGTTCTTGTGCCCAATAAGAAGCCTCATATTTGTAATGTTTGGCAAGGAAAAATATTACATCTTTTTCCTCTTTCCAGATTACATCTTCCCAAAACACTTTCAGTCCTTCCTTCCTGCTCTTACCTTGTTCACACACTTTCTTCTCCCCCATAGCTGCAGGAGCAGAAAATTTTATGCTAGTAATTAATTGCTTAAGTAGAGAAATGTATCATTATTTGTGATGTTTTTGGCAGTGGTTTCGCAGTGCAGTCATCAAGGAGAATGCTATGCCAGAGGGCCTGATGACATTACTCTTCTCTAACATAGACCCAATTTATGAGTTTCATCGAGGCTTTCTGAAAGAGATTGAGCAAAGACTGTCACTCTGGTAAGTGCAAACAGTTCAGAGCATGAGCAGCCAGCCTGGGGACCTTTTCCTGCCTCTTCATGTCAAAACTGTGCTTTGAACTGGTATTTTCTGCTTGAATGAAATGAAGAAAAAAGTATTTTAATAAATTATAGTTTTAAAAAATTACTGAATGCATTTTGAAAAGCCCATTTTTCAAGCACTGCCTTGTACATAATATCCTGTAGCTGGATGAATTTTACACCAGACCAAGGGTTTTGTAACTGCAGAGTCATTTAGGTTGGAAAAGACCCTTAGGATCATCGAGTCCAACTGTTAATATGACCCGGTGTTGTCTCTCTAGCCTTAGAAAAGAGGAGGAACGCGAGGTCAAACAAATAATGGGGGTGTTTTTCGGTACCTTCCAGTTAATGAATCTTCAGGTGAAAAATCTAGGAAACACTTTTTGGTAATTAAGATTAGAGTTCATCTTTTGCAGCACAGTTTATTTCAGAGAGCATGTCCTTTAGTCTTTTAACCTTTAGATTTCTTTCTCCTGACCTGAGATGTAATACATGAGAATCTAATTCAAATGGAAGTGGTTAACATAACTAAGGAAGAACAAAAATCAGTTAATAAATTCAGGTGGGATCATGTTATGATGCTTATTCATCATAGAATAAGAGAATTCTTCATCAGAGAATAGTTTGGGGTGGGAAGGACCTCAAAGATCATCTAGTTCCAGCCCCTCTTCCATGGGGGGGACACCTCCCACTTGGCCAGGTTGCTCCAAACCCCATCCATCCTGCCCTTGAACAGTGTGAGAAGTTAAACTCCCAAAAGGACTTTAACACAAATACATTCCTGTTCTTTTCTCACTTTTCTAAGCATGGCTTTGTTATTTCATACAACTTCCATATTTAACTGTACCAAGTTTTCAACCCTAACAGTGAAATGGAAATGTCAAGTGGCTAAAATTGGATAGAGGAGGATTCATGTCATTCCCTTAATTCTACTAAATCTGTCTTTAAAATACACAGATACCTGGCAAGTGTTTCTTGAAAGTTCAGGGGAAGATGGAGGAAGGAAGCTGAAATTTCTTGGTTTCCTGTGTGCTTGACCTTCATCTCCTTGTGTGTGTTTCAGGGAAGGAAAAACCAATGCTCACGTGAAGGGAGATTATCAGCGCATCGGAGATGTGATGCTCAGGAATATGCGCACTCTGAAGGTAGAGAGAGGATTCAAACCCTGGAATCTCAGGAGCAGGGAGTCACTTCTTTTTTTCAAGGATGAGATTTCAATGTTCAGTAATTAATAATTTCCATGTGACTTACAAACAATTCTTGTTGATAAAAAAAATTTAAATGAAAGCATAATGACATATCTAGAGCAAGGCTTTATACTTCTGTTGTTTGTTTAACCACCTACATTTACTTTGAGAAAAGACTGTTCATTGGTTATTCAGCAGAAAACAAAAATTTTGTTCCTTTCACATTCTCTTCCATATTTGCACAACTCCAACTCTACAGAGACGCTGTTCCACAAGGTTGTTTCATTCCAAATTGTAAATACTTTTAATCAGTATATAATGTTGTGATGCTATTTTTAATAAGTTATGAGAATATATGCAATCTTGGTTTATGTATAATCATGGTCAGAGACAAAAGTGGGGCAGGCAGTGCCTGTTTTCCTTTATTCACTGTGGAATCTATTAAAGACTCTTTTATTTGACCCAAATCAATTTTTGTCTGATTCCACAGGAGTTTACCAGTTACCTGCAGAAGCACGACGAGGTCCTGACAGAACTGGAGAAAGCAACTAAACGCCTAAAGAAGCTGGAAATGGTTTATAAGGAGTTTGAGCTGCAGAAGGTTTGCTACCTGCCCCTCAACACCTTTCTGCTCAAGCCAATCCAGAGGCTGATGCACTACAAGTTGATCCTGGGGAGACTTTGCAAGCACTACACAGCAGAGCACCGGGACTTTGTAGATTGCAGGAGTGAGTGAGCACTCATCTCTAAATGTGCCAGGACCCCATTCCCATTTCATAGGATCATAGAGTGATGAAGGTTAGAAGGGATCTTAAAGATCATCAGGGATGATCCCTGTGAGCAGGGACACCTCCCACTAGGCCAGCCTGCAGAATGTCCCTGTTGTTCCTGTTCCCGGGGGGAGACAACAAGGATTAGGCCTACTAAGTATATGTAAATGCTTTTTATTTCCACTCAGGACCCCTCCAAATCTCACTTGCAGGTCTGTGAAGTACACAGAAATTTAGGTTGCTAAAACCAAAACTGTTTAGTGAACACTGTCATTTAAATATCCTGAGGAAAAAACAGACTATATGAAGCAGAACAGCAGAGAACTGGCAGGAGGCAGTGTAATTAAAAAAACACTTAAAGAAGCTGGCAAGGTGGGAGTGGATGATCATTGTAAGTCCCTTGCAACTGAACTATTCTGTCCTCTTCTAAGTCTGGCTGTAAATTTCAGATTCAATATTCCAGAGTTAAAGTTAGTGCCCTGGGTTTGTCTGCTCTGTTGTGATTCCCCTCAGTGCCCTTTTCCTTACAGGTGCACTGAAGGAGGTGACAGAAATGACATCTCAGCTGCAGCACAGTCTGATCCGCCTGGAGAATTTCCAGAAGCTGACAGAGCTGCAGCATGACTTGATTGGTATAGATAACCTCACAGCACCTGGGAGGGTAAGTACCTCTCTAGAGTTTTTAGAGCTTTTATTGGTTTTATGGCCCAGGCAGTGCCTTTCAACCATGTATTTGCCAGCACTGCCTCTTTGTTTGATAGGTGACTGTGAAGGCTTTGTGTAATTGTCTTTATAGTAGGTCTGATGGAGGTCTTGGTGATGTCTAGATCAAAAATCAGAGTCATAGAATGGTTTGGGTTGGAAGATCATCTGGTTCCAAGTACAGGGACACCTTCCAGTAGACCAAGCTGCACAAAGCCCCCTCCAGCCTGGCCATGAATTTGGAAAGGCATGAAAGCGTGACCCCTTGTTGTCGTGCCACGTGGTGGGATTTGGGCACCTCAAATCCCCCTCGCCGGTGTGCGTCTCAGAAGGCAGCTTGTCTGAGAGCAGATTTGGGAACTGAGGTTTTGTCTCTCGGGTCTCAAGCTGACCACTGAACTATCCTTCACTCTTCCTTCACCAAGTTCAAACCTGGCTTTAGCAGGATGACCTCCCTTTTCCTTCGTTCACTCCCTGCTCTTCCCACAGGCCTGGTGATGTGTCTGATTAGCAATTACTGCTCTGACGTGGCAGAATTGGCGCCTCGGTTCCAGCAGCCTTCAGACCCCAGGGAAACAGCCTTCTGTGTTGCTGGCTAATGGTGCATGCCTTACAGCACCACGTGCTGCTTCTCCAGTTTAATTTTCAGGGTTCAGGTGCCACGAATGGTTTGTAATAGAAGAAAGGCACAAAACAGGAGGTGGCTTCACAGTTAAGTACAACAGAAACCCAGGAATCACAGAATGGTTTGGGGTTGGAAGGGACCTTAAAGCTCATCGTTCCAACCCCGCTGCCATGAGCAGGGACACCTCCCACTAGGCCAGCCTGCAGAATGTCCCTGTTGTTCCTGTTCCCGGGGGGAGACAACAAGGATTAGGCCTACTAAGTATATGTAAATGCTTTTTATTTCCACTCAGGACCCCTCCAAATCTCACTTGCAGGTCTGTGAAGTACACAGAAATTTAGGTTGCTAAAACCAAAACTGTTTAGTGAACACTGTCATTTAAATATCCTGAGGAAAAAACAGACTATATGAAGCAGAACAGCAGAGAACTGGCAGGAGGCAGTGTAATTAAAAAAACACTTAAAGAAGCTGGCAAGGTGGGAGTGGATGATCATTGTAAGTCCCTTGCAACTGAACTATTCTGTCCTCTTCTAAGTCTGGCTGTAAATTTCAGATTCAATATTCCAGAGTTAAAGTTAGTGCCCTGGGTTTGTCTGCTCTGTTGTGATCCCCCTCAGTGCCCTTTTCCTTACAGGTGCACTGAAGGAGGTGACAGAAATGACATCTCAGCTGCAGCACAGTCTGATCCGCCTGGAGAATTTCCAGAAGCTGACAGAGCTGCAGCATGACTTGATTGGTATAGATAACCTCACAGCACCTGGGAGGGTAAGTACCTCTCTAGAGTTTTTAGAGCTTTTATTGGTTTTATGGCCCAGGCAGTGCCTTTCAACCATGTATTTGCCAGCACTGCCTCTTTGTTTGATAGGTGACTGTGAAGGCTTTGTGTAATTGTCTTTATAGTAGGTCTGATGGAGGTCTTGGTGATGTCTAGATCAAAAATCAGAGTCATAGAATGGTTTGGGTTGGAAGATCATCTGGTTCCAAGTACAGGGACACCTTCCAGTAGACCAAGCTGCACAAAGCCCCCTCCAGCCTGGCCATGAAGGGGCATCCACATCCTCCCTGGGCAACCTGTTCCAATGCCTGTGCTTAGACTGTGCCTGCAGTTTGGTGTTGCCATTACAGCAGATGCTGGGTGTGCTGGGCCCTGTGCTCTTGTGTTTGAGTGTGAACCAGTATGTCATGTACTCAATCCACTCCCAGGTCTACTTGTGCAGCCTCATGCAAGCTCTGTCTGTGGACTGGGACTTCAGAGAGAACATAGCAGTGGTGACCCACGTCACTGGGCAAAACTGGTGTCAGTGACTGTTTATTCTAGGAGTTTATTTAGTTCCTGCTTGTTTTTTTTCTGTTTCTTTGTTTTTTTGATAGATATACTGAGCATAAATAAAGGAGCATCACAGGTGCTTGTGGGGTGCTATGGCAGTCACTGCAGTGGGATGTAAGTGTGATAGGTGGAACTGCTGGTGTCCCAACAGGAACTCTGCTCCTTTTCCTTCTCTTGCTTCACTGATTTAAAAGCTGGCTGCAGCAAGGAGCTGATTCTTTTACAAAACAGAAGGGCAGGTGTCATATGACATGGAACAAATCTGTTAGAGATCATTGCTGAGCACCAATCAACTTCTGCATACTCTGGGATGGAAGAAAAAACACAACCCAAAACCATTAAAATGTTCTGTATTTGGGAAAGAAAGAGCTTTGCCCAGCTTTCTGTTTTCTGCTGCAGGAGTTCATCAGGGAAGGTTGCTTGTACAAGCTCACCAAGAAGGGTTTGCAGCAGCGGATGTTCTTTCTGGTGAGTGTTCCTTCTCATTTCCATAAACCCAAAGTCTTCAAGATAAAGTGGTTGTGAAAGGGAGTTTTCATGTGGTACTGTTGAAAATCAGCAATTGTAACTGAGCTCTGAGGGATTTTGAGTTAGTGTGATTGTGAAAATACTGTCTGCTCAGTTTGTTGCCTTCATGGCATGTAGTTTTAACAGAATTCAACAAATTGCCTCTCTTGTAAATAAATGAAAGAAGGGTTTTAAGCAACGTGGGGCAAACCAACTGAGAAATGGCCTTTTTTCATGCTCTATACTGGCCTTTAAGCAACTATTTTTTAAAAAGATGGCAAAAACTACTTGACCCTAGGCCTACTGTCTTCAGAATATTGACTGTGTCCTTCCTGCCTTTTTCAGTTCTCAGATATGTTACTGTACACAAGCAAAGGGGTTACAGGGACAAATCAGTTCAAAATCCATGGACACCTTCCTCTGCATGGCATGTTGGTAAGTGGTTTCAAGTTACATCACAGACTTTGCTTTAAGGCAGGTTGAGGCAGTTCGGTCAGGGCATGAGGACCAAGGCTGCAGCTGCTCCCAGGCCAGTGCCAGCAGCCAGTGGACTGGACCTTCATTCATGTGCCCCAACCTGTGTGCGAAACAAAGACTTCTCTGCAGGCCATAAGATTATTCCTCCCATCTCATTTTCAAAGCAGCTAGCACACTTTTTTGATGACTGATTTTCATGCTGCTGTGAGAGGCTGATTTGGAAACAAGGGATTTGTCCTGAAATTTTTCTCCTATATACACCCCAAGGCATACAATCAGTCTTCCTGCCTCCCTACCCCCCCGTTCTAATATGACTGTTCTTTCTGTGCTTGATTTGCAGCTGATAGTGCTCGACCCACCGGTAAGTCATGAGCTGAATCCTGCTCAGAACCCTCCTGTTCTTGCCCTGGTGGGTGTGGTGCTGTGCAGCTAGAGATGTGCCAGTAGAAATGCACAATCTAGTTTATTCTGTAGAGCCAAAATAGACTCAAAGTAGGTGGTATTCGTAAGAGTAGCTGGTTTTCACTTACTGCACTCAGGTTGTAATCATATTGTGAATTTCTGGCCAGCCAAGGAAGGCAGGTTTTGGGTTTATCTCTCACTGAGCAATGATGAGAAAAACCTCTTTCTCTGCAGGTGGAGGAGAGTGAGAATGAATGGGCTGTCCCACACTGCTTCACCATCTATTCAGCACAAAAAACCATAGTGGTGGCAGCAAGGTAACGTTTATTTTCCTCAGCTACCTGTCAGTTTGATAGATACCTTCAAAAAGTTCCTGTTCCATCATGTGGTACAGAGCCAAGGGGGTGTTTCATGTGTCCTCTGGAAAGCCATGACTTAAAAACAACCACAGGGCACTTCCCAACTCCTTTATCCACCCTTTGTTTTGGGAAAGA